CTGACCGGGTCGGTATGTACCTCTTCAGAAGCCGCTGCTGTTGCCGCAACCGCCTCCGCTGCCACCGACCTCGAGGGGCTCCGTTTGCCCGCCAGTTTAGTCAACGAATTGGCTTTTATAGCGCATACTTGCGGCCTATTTTCTGTTGATGACCTGCCTCCATACAACTTAGTTCTCACTAAGATGGCGCCCTCAAGTATGAATGCGGATTTACCTGCTAGTCAGATGTCTGCTTCCTCCGCAACCCCGCCAATAAGAGAAGGGTCATCAATGTTGTTACCTCCCTCGTTACTGCCGGGCACCCTTGGAGAGCGTTCAGTCAACTTGGAAAACACGGAATCGTCAGAGTCGATGGGTGCACAGACAACACACCGTGACCGAGTCATATGTCGTCCCCACGGTAGGCGTGGAGCTCTGCCTCAAGCCCAACCGCGCCCTGATCTCGAGATTTCCACTGGCGGTTGTGCTCGTCGAGGCCGCTCTTCAGGGACGGATGCCATCTCCCTGGCCTCGATACCCGACCGGCATCAAGCTAAACGAAGCACCTCTGGTGGGAGTCATGCTGGTTTTTCGAGGGAAGTCAACTCTGAAAGCCTGGCACCAGGGAAACAGACGTCTTCTATCTTCCCCACATCGACTTCCTTACATAGTCGGGCTCGTGTGCCGGCCAATCTTTGGCAACCAGGCCAATTGCCTTTGCAGTTGCCATTGCCTCTACCGCCATCGGTGATGACATCGGCCTCGCAATCAGGCACTGGCGGGCGCATGGCTACACCGCCCGCCTTCACTGGTGCTATGCTGTTAGCTGCGGAGACTCTGCAGCGCGAGGCAGCCCGCGATCCCTGGTTCGAGCCGACACGCCATCTACTTCAACGAGAGTTGACCAACCTCGAGGGCAGATCCATACTCGTGGGTTGTCTTTTGATTTTCATTATTTCTTATCGGTTTCCTTCCCTACCTAATCGGCTCGATAAATCTCTTAATCACATTTCTTCTGAAACTAGATCTATTTTATATTGGAATATATAATATAACTCATTTTTCGTATATATGATGGCAGCTTCGAGACCGCCAATAAATGAGTTATTTGAGATGTATTCACCCTATTTTGTTTATGGTGATGAAGGACTGGCAGTAGAATTTCCCACAATGATATGAGTAAAGCTGACGTTTCCATTGAATTTCACATATCCTTGCTTTTCCAAAACTGTTCTCATCCTGGGGGGATTGCATTTTCGACCTTGCATAGGTTTTATCAACACTCCCAGCCGAAGTCGAACCGTGTTGATAAGACCTATGTGTGGTCGAAACTGCATTCCACCCAGGGTGAGAACAACTTTTGAAAAAGCAAGGCTCTGTGAAATTTGATGGAGGCGTCAACTTCAATTATAATT